CCCCCTTATTTTTCTATTCAGCTTACATAAAGCCAAAGATAATCTGAGTGATTCTGCATAAAATCAAATACTCTTTCCTTTAGCCCTTGACAAGAAAATATGTACCTCTTTCTGTTTTCTGTGCCAGCATCAGTGACACTTTCACTATCCTGATTGTTCTATCTTGAAATCTCCGACTTTTTGAACCTCCTGCATTGTCTCCTTTGGCTTCTGCAACCAGTTAATTGGGAAGTCCTGGTAATTCTCCCTCTGCCAGATGGGCTAACACCTGTTCTTCCCTTAAGATGTGGTCCCAACACCATCACTGTCTCTAGGAAGCTCTGTTGAACCCCTGAGCCCAGGTGGCCCCTCTCCTTTATATTTCCACAATACTTTGGGGATGCCCATTTTATCACTGAGCTTGCCACATCTAATTATAATTATTGCCAATAATATTCTCCTAGGGCAATGGTTCTCAAGTTTTGCCACATATTCGGATCATAAATATTTAATTAAAAACCAACTAAATCAGAATCTCTGGGGAAGTGAGACCCAGGCCAACGTACATATTGTTGAAAGCAGCACTTCTCAAATTTTAATATGCATAAAATTCACCTAAAATTCTGCTTTTGTTGAAAAGATTCTGATTCAGTAGATCTCAGGTGGGGCCTAAGAGTCTAAAGTTCTAACAAGCTCCCAGACACAGATGCCACTTATGCTAAATCAGCATAAAAGTTCCCCCAAATGGTTATGTATTCTAGAACATGGGTCCCCAACCTTTTTGGCACCAGGGACCGGTCTCGCGGAAGATGATTTTTCCACGGCGGTGGGGCGGCGGAGGGGGCGGTAGATGGTTCGGGCGGTAACGTGAGCGATGGGGAGCAGCAGGTGAAGCTTCGCTCCCCGCACGCACGCCCGCCCGCCTCTCACCTCCTGCTGTGCGGCCCGGCTCCTAATAGGCCGCACAGCCCAGGGGTTGGGACCCCTGTTTCAGAAAATAGCAACTTCCTTATCTGTATCCGTATCCACGTCTATATCTTAAGCTCACAAACTTTTACCCAATATAAGACCACTTCTTTCTACTCTGATACCTCTACCTGCCACCACCTTTTCAGGTATGTAGAGGTGTTGAGAATTGTCTCATAAATCAGAGTTTGCGTGTCAATATTTCGGCTGTAACTGGCCTTCCTCGCTTCTATTTACAAGTGCATCCCTCCCCAGCTGTGCCATGTCCATGTTTCTGTGTTAATCCTACTGGACACAGAGAAATGCTGAGGAGCATTAAGACACCATGAGAAGGAAGGTCTTGCTACCTTTGCTTGTGCTTCAATTTTTTAATTATTATTAATTAATTAATTTATTTATTTTGGGCTATTTACCTATTTTTGGGTCTTTGTTGCTGCATGCAGCCTTTCTCTAGTTGCAGCGAGCAGGGGCTACTCTTCGTTGCAGTGCTTGGGCTTCTCATTGCAGTGGCTTCTCTTGTTGCGGAGCACGGGCTCTAGGCACACGGGCTTCAGTAGTTGTGGCACGTGGGCTCAGTAGTTGTGGCTTGCAGGCTCTAGAGCGCAGGCTCGGTAGTTGTGGCACACGGGCTTAGCTTCTCCACGGCATGGGGGATCTTCCTGGACCAGGGCTCGAACCCATGTCCCCTGCATAGGCAGGCGGATTCTTAACCACTGTGCCACCAGGGAAGTCCCTGTGCTTCAATTTTAAAGCATGATCTTGTATATTCACTTCATCGTCACTCCAGCCTCCAGACTCCATCTTCTGCTCCTTCTTGGATGCTCATGTGACTTTCTTTTTCTCCTTCTACACCAGGTAGCCTCTTGCTCCCACACCCATTCTCACATTTTCCCACATTGTGAAGTCACTGTCATCCCTACTGACTTACCTCCAAATAACTGGAACCAAGGAACACACATATAAACAGCTGCTTATAATGTAAAAACATCTTTCTTCTACTTTAAGTGTATTTGCTCAACCACATCACTTTTCCTTAGTTAATGCTTCTATCTGTTACATGTACAGATCAACCTTTTCAGTTTTAGGTCTCAAGAATAGGCTCTAAGTAGCTATTATTTAGGAGGGCTGATGGCACAATTTAAGGTTCTATTAGCCTTTGTACACCTTTATATACCAATCTAACCACATTCCTATGGTTCCCAGAGTGTGCACTAAGGCACCCTGGAGTGCAGCAGGGAACTCACTGCAGCACCAGGAAATATTTTAAAAATTTGAGGGAAATACAGCAACATGAGCTCTCGGACATCTTGTGAATTACTAGCTCAGAGTAGATCACAGTTTCAACAGTAGGTGGTGCTACATTCCTTTCGATGATGTCATTATTTATTAAGATGGGTTTCCCACAGTGCCCGTGTTAAAAAGCAAGTACCGTGTGAAAATCAATGTGGAAAAGGAAACCAGGGGTCGGTGTCCAATCTGAGAAGTTGTGCAGTGTCCAATACGTGCCCACATTCCATTAGGAAGTAACTGGTTATTTAAGAGTGAAATAAAAATATTATTTTTTCTATTAATTGTTATTTTGGTTACTTATTTGTTAGAACATAAATACGTATTAAGTTGTTTGGGCCTAATTATTTCTTTTGGCCTAAGGGCATTGTGAAAAAATGATCGAGATGTTACAGGCATTGCGAACCAAGAAAGTTTCGGAACCTCTGCTATAGTCTAATTTTTTTTTTTCCCCCAAATTTCTTGACCTTGTAGATTCGGATAATCTCATCAGGTACCTGTTTACTCCAAATCTTTTAAAAGTGGACCAACCTGTTGCCACATGGGAAATGAACCTTTTTGTTTTCTTTTTAAATATTTATTTTTTGTCTACGTTTAATTGTGGTAAAAAACAAATTGTAGTCTAATCCCTTTGTCTGTTGATAAAACATATAGTCCAAAGCCAGATTCAGGAAAATGCCTTATCAATAGTTCAGGAACACCTCTTACATGCATCTGATGTAGCAATGCTGGCACCTACGATAACTTCAATTATTGACCTTGACTTTTTTTTTTCCAGTGTATATTTTTTTATGGGTTATAACTTCAAGGAGGTGGGGCAGGGGCAGATAATGATGAGGAAGGGAAACTTATCTTGTTGCCAATAAAATATCCAAATCCAACGAATCAAACTGAAGCTGTGATTGTGCAGGGGTTTTCCCACAATCCTCTACATTTGCCAGCCACTGAGAGATCCGTTAATTATATCATTTTACTTTTTCAATGATTTTTTTGCGGTACGCGGGCCTCTCACTGTTGTGGCCTCTGCCGTCGTGGAGCACAGGCTCCGGACGCGCAGGCTCAGCGGCCATGGCTCACGGGCCCAGCCGCTCCGCGACATGTGGGATCTTCGCGGACCGGGCCACAAACCCGTGTCCCCTGCATCGGCAGGCGGACTCTCAACCACTGCGTCACCAGGGAAGCCCTACCTGGCCTTTCTTTAAAAATACATGTATTTTTATGTAAAATGGCATCACAATTTGAGAAGAAAAAGAAAAGAAAGGGGGGATCAATTATTTAAATACAGCACTTTAAAAAACTTAATCTTCTATAACAATAATGTTATTTGTATTGTAGAAAGTGCTTTAAAGATTATAAGATTATTGTTATTTTTTACAGTAATTTTTTAGCCTTGTTAGCGTAGTGCTATTCAAATTTCACAGAGGAAATGGAATGAAGCACAAATAAGTGGACTGTCTTCAGCAGTCACACAGTATGTAAATTTCACAGCAAATACAAGGTTAGACCCTTGGGGATCGGTGTTGATGTTCACCCCTTCACCGAACACTTCCTGTCCTACTTTATTCCACATTAATAATTCACTTCACTGGAACGATGCCGGGTTACCTCAGCCCAAGCCATGGATGGCTTTCCTTTGTTTATTGTGGTAAACGCTTAAAGAGAATATTGGCACAGGGTTATTCAGGGATATTTGATAACAGATTGAAGTGTGAACACGCAGCCCCTGGAATCTGTAAAGTTTATGCTTTTTGAGTGATACCCAAATATAGATGTTCTAAAATTGTAGCTGTAATCATAAAGACATTTTATCATCTCTATCATGTTTGTTCCCAGTTTGTTTATGTAAAGGATGTATGACAATTATTTTTCTTATCAATACCATGTTCTGAAACAGAGAACCTACGAAGTACAAACCTGTGTCCCTGTCTTTTTTCACTTATTTGCGGGATGCAGATATTCTGCAATGGGAATGTAGCTGATGATAAAATTTCAGTGAAACTCACGATGACAGTATAACTAAGCTGTTTCCCTGACTCAGCTCCAGTAATCTGGAAGGGCTGTAATAAGCGATAGGTCCTCATTTTACTTTCTGGAGTCAATAAAATGGTCAGATGATATTTGGAAATAATAGCACCTTTACATAACCATTTTTTCTCTTTTGTGAACCCTGCCACAATTAAATCATAAGTTTTGAAATGCCTGGCTCTTGCCAATTATGGGAGATAAGACAAAACAGCAGTAACAACTAAATCTAAGGCAGTGGTGGGTTTTGAGGACAAAGGGCTCCATTTGGTCAGAGAATGGATGGCGCTGTAGGTAGCAGAGTTAAAAAATAGTTAATTTGAACGTGGCCAAAGGACTAAAGCTCAGAATGTTTCCTTTCACAATGAGAAAAAGGAAACTTCTTTTCCTTACAGCTTAATCGCTCTATTCCTATTTTTAATACATACTGCTTTATAGAATAGCTGGACCACATTTTTCAAGCTAAAGTAAAAATTCAAGGATTTATGATAATCCTATGCGGCTGGTTGTAGGTGTTTCGTTTTCAACGGAAGCATTTCTCTTTCTTTGTTGCGGTGCTAACATTTCTCAGCTTCTCACTACAGTCTTCCTGAAACTACTCAGGTGAAAAAAAAAAAGTCTTACCAGATAAGCAACAATTCTTACTGTACTGGGGGAATATTTCACATCTTCCCCATCTATTTATGAGAAGTAACTTCTTCAAGCTTTTAAAACCAGAATGTCAAAAGAGCCCAGTGGAATCCTACCTTGCCCACATACTGATAATCGGATCCTGTGTATTCCTCCAGCAGAAAGAACTGATTCCACATCCAGCTCCTTTTCGAACGGTTCAGCTCATTTTTGCTGTGTCCAGAGAGCTCCAGGGTCCTTTTCTTTGCCGGGAAACCACTAGTCCTCTTAGATAATGGAGTTGAGAAAGTTGGGTAGGGCTGGCCAACCCAGAAGAGAAGCAAGAAGTATCCGTAAGTTCTCATTTTAATGACACAGTCCAGTCTCTGAGTAGTGGGTACCCTTCTCCTTGAAGTGTCTTTTTTCACTGCACTGTATCCAGCCTCATTCCTCCTCTCTTCCTTAATCTTCTTGGCTTGGCTCTCAGAGGATATCTGGAAAGAATAATAACATATTAAGCATTTTTAGAGATGCTTAAAATTCAGAGTTAGAGCAAATAAGCTCTGGGAAAAAAGAGGACATAAATTTGAATAGCAAAACAACAAAAAATAGTCTATCAATTTTGAAATGAGGAAAACAGTCTTTCAGATATGCTAAATGGAAGGTGTGTTCTGAGTAGGAAGCTGCTGTTTTCCTCTCTCCTTTTCTATCACTTAAAAATCCTATTTTAAGTAATAGCATTGCTGTAGGTCAACATGCCGGAGTGGATTATTTCACTACTCTTTTACCTCTGAGTATGTGGGTTGAGATCTGGTTAGAAGAAATGAGTTTGTGTTTCTGATTCTATTTGCATATTTATCCTCATGAAAGAATATCACAGACAGTTTTGATTCAATTGAAAGTGGATAATGTTGAAATTTCGCTACAGTGTATTGAGCACCTGTGATGTGGAGGCAGAAGCCTGTTCTGCAGACTCTTGGCTTCGGAGATGTGTTGTGATGGAACGGCCTGGGTCAAATAAGCTTGGAAAAGACCTAATGCCTTCCCTTCAGGATGCTCATTAGCATATTGAGGTTTCTTTTTTTGTTGTTTTTTTTTGAAGATTTTTGTCTTAAAAAATTTTTTTTATACATATTGATGTTTCTGAAGTGAAATTTTGTAGCAATGATGATAAGCCTGCATTTAATCCAGTATTTCCCAAACTTGACCAGGAAACTTTTTTCCTCATACAACCCAATTAACACTACAGGATGGGTTAATGAACGACCTATGGAATTTGTATTAAACAGAATAAAGAATAAAATGAACAATTCTATTCAAATTTCTTTAGGAAATCCTGGCGGGCTTTTCTCTCTAAATTTTACTTGTATCATAGGCAACTAAGTATATATATTAAAATTGGCCCAACAGTCTCTATGTAACTTTCACAGGTACATCAGATATACCTCAATACCACAGTGAGGGCAATCGACGGCAAGATCTTCAGAAAAGTCAGCTATTATAATCGCGGCAATAATTTTCCATGACAAATACTAATTTTCAAAAACACAACCTAGCATTTGAAACAAATCCTCGGGCCAGAGTGCTTGGCAAAGATGTCACAATTTGGTTTAATATCTTATGTAAATTAAGTAATACATGCCTATATCTCCTTCCTAAACGTTCCCATGTTTCTTGAAAAAAATCCAATAAATTACTCCTTCATCTTACTATTTGATAGAGAAAGCATACTTTCTTAAATAATACTAATAAAAAAGTGAAGGGCTTTGTAATGTAGAACATAGTAGCAATCAAGCCGGTACAGTTAATAAATAAGGGCAGATAAAGAAACAGGTTGTAGGTAATCTGATCAGTATTTTTTTTTCCCTCTATGTCAGAAAAGGTTTGTTCCCTTTTCTCCTATTTTTCTACCAGGTAAATGTATATATGATCAGTTTTTTTTTTTTTTTTTTTAACCTCAGCAATGAATAATTATAGCCACCCAACACATGCTTAGGTGGAAGTTTTCTGTTGGAATATAAGTGAAATATTTCACAGTGTTCAGCATTTTTAAACCTTTATTCCATTATTATGCATCTTCTTGACAGCAGGCTGGGGAAGTTGAAACTTCCACAGGTGAGTGAATTAGTACTGTGACAATTAGTCATGCTGGAAAAATGCCAGGTAGCTATATTTGTCATTATGTGGCCTTGGTACAGGTGTGGAATGACTGATGATCAATTAGGTAACGACGGTTCTTCTCTCTTCTTGTGGATGGGACATAAAGGGGACTGAGAGACCATATGGAGAAAAGCCCTCTAAAGACATCTATTCATTTCTAGTAGTAGAGATTACACTGAAGTTGATTCAGTGGAAATTACATTTTTCTTAATTTCCCACACTCTCCATTATTTGCATAGACGAATCCTGCAGTGAAGAATTACACATCTGCTGCTGCACTCAGTGTGTGGCCCACAGTGCTGGCAGGAAAGATGCAGAGAATGGAGGTGTCAGCTGTTTAAAAGGCAGACTCCTGAAGGCCATTTTAAAGAAAAATCGATCCCTGTGGATGTTGTATGCAAACTCTACAAGCTGTTGCCACTTGACTATTAAATACTAGTTCTTTTTAATATCGCAGATACCAAAATGTCAAGTATTTCATATTTTTTTTCTGCTTGGCTGGTAATAAGCTTTTAAAGTGGTACAAATTTAAGCAGAGTTTCCAAGTATGGTAAAACATGCAGTTTTGCTATAACCCAGCTCTTCTTGTACCAACTTGGTAGGGTGTGTCCTTGTTAAAACTCAATATGCAAAATTACTAAAATTACCATGATCCACTCATATTTGGTGTTTAAAGGGATAGATTTCTCTGTGAAATTCTATAGTTAAAAAAAACTCCAACAAACTCTACACTGTTGAATATATAACTTAGCAATTCTCATATAATAATACTTCTCAATAGTCAGGATTGCATAGTGGTTAAGATTATCAGTGTTGGAGACAGATTGCCTGAGTTTAAATTGCTGTGAATTGGGGAAAATGCTTGATTTCACTGCACCTTAGTTTCTTCTTCTGTAAATGGGGGTAATTACAGTAACTACCTCATAGGGTGTTATATATGGATTAAATGAGTCATTGCATGCACTTAAAACAGTGCCTAGCACTCAGTAAGGTATTATTAAGTATTAGCTGTTATTATTACTACTATTGTTACTATTATTTGCATTGCAAGTGTAGATTCCATCTACAGCAGCTTGCAAAAGTCTGCAGAAGATAGCTTGGTTACCTCTTAGGCTTTAAATACTTTTTTATGTTTCAAGAAGCATCTCCAAGCAAGTCAAATTCTCTTAAAATTAAAGAATAGAAGCACTTTAAAAATCAGAATTAGTCCGTTTGCCAATTGTTTGCCTTTGTGTAGACTTCAATTCTGTATTTCACAGTAACAGTATAGAAACAGAGAAGGCAGAAGCTTTATGCCCACTGCCTGCCTCAAGAAGAATACGGGCAAAAAGGAAAGTTCACTGGAGGACAGACTCATTCATACAATCTATGTGTTTTTTTTCCCCTTTCCATTTTGTTAAAGTTTCGAAAATCATCTTTACTTTATTCAGGTGAAAAAAAATCAGACCTAGCTTCAATGTAGCAATATTGCCCTTGCAAAAATGGGACTGGACATACATGTTTTCTTGTAATTTAACATGCTGATATTATATCGGATAAGAATTTGATATAGTTGAAATTAATGATATACAGATTTTAGATTTTAATCTAAAAATATGAAATGAAAAAAAACCCCCCATATTCCAAACATGACCTTAGATGCAAAAAACAGGATTCTTAAAGTGATAAATGGCCATAAGTTCAAGGAAAGGAAGGAAAGGCCCCGGAATAGCACAACTTTGAGAAATGTGGGCAAGTCGCTGACTTCTGAGCAGTCAAAATACAAGAAAACCGCTTCCCTGGTGGCGCAGTGGTTGAGAGTCCGCCTGCCGATGCAGGGGACACTGGTTCGTGCCCCGGTCCGGGAAGATTCCACATGCCGCAGAGTGGCTGGGCCCGTGAGCCATGGCTGCTGAGCCTGCGCGTCCGGAGCCTGTGCTCCGCAACGGGAGAGGCCACAGCAGAGAGAGGCCCACACACCGGAAAAAAAAAACAAGAAAACCACATGGCAAGTAGTAATCGAATGTGCTGGCTCGTTCTGTAGGTCTCAGAAAGTAAACTAAAATGACAAGAAAGTAATGGCCTACATAGACAGTGAATTTTAAAATAGCAGTTATGGTTATTCAAGAAGGAAAGAACCAGAAGATTAGACAGTGGGAATGGAAAGAATACAAAACAATGTGGATATTGTATCTTTTTGCCCCCATCCCCTCATGGCATTAACAGCAAATGAGTTAGAGATATCAAAAACTCTATAAAAATAAAACTTGACCTGCCTAATTACAGCCCAATGACAGTTTAGCAATGAAGTTAAAAGATTACTTAATAGACCAAGTCTCTACTTTTTATTTTCTTTTTGCTAGAATCTTTTTTTTTGGGGGGGGGGGGGGGGGGGGTGGATTTCTATTTCTTATAGGCAATAGTTTGAATCTTTGCAGAAGCCTTTTCTTAGTCATGTGTAGAAGGTAATTAAGATGTTTACGGTTAGTGGGGCAAAGCCCACAAAACATTGATAATTACATACTTTGAAAATTTATTTGTCTGGCAGCCAATATGCATATATACTTCAATCTTCACAAGAGTACATAATCAAGTCCAGCTTTTATTTTAATGCATGCCAGTTAGAAGAAGCCTGGGCCTCATTAATTCAGGGTCTACCAATTTAGAATATGTGATAATTAATGGCAGAAGCTGGGCTGAAGTTTTCCTCTGATTAGCAAAATCTTTTCCACTAGATCATTGGAAATTAATAATGTAAAAATATTTCATAGGAGATATAGAATGAGAAGACAAACTACAATATCTTCAAGTTCCTTGGAGTATTTTGGAATCACCTTTTATTTGCCAATAATTAATATGCTAATTAGAAAACTTCTCTATTGATTGAATTGCTTCTTCAGTGACTCATGTTTGATAACAGTCTGAATGACTCAACTATATTATCTGGTTTTGAGATACTGATTTTATTATACTATTTACAGACAAACAAGTAAATATTAGACAGATTTTAAAGCAATATAATTACTTTAAAGTTTTAGAATTCAGACTTAGCATACATTTGTTCTGGTGTTCTTGATTAATTCTAATCAGTGCAATATTACTATAATGCCATCTAGGCTTACAAATTAAACCAAGTACATTCATTCTTTAGCATGCAGAGCCTTAACTTTGGCATTGAAAGCAAGTTAGCATTCAATAAAGCAACATTATTAATATACTTGAACCATTTACCCTAGTAAGAGAATGTTTTAAAATCTGTTATGAAATTATTTCTTCAAATAGATGGTGTTGCACAGAAATACTGGAGCATAGCATTTTGCATAATGCTGCTCACAGAATATTGTCTACCCGTTAG